AAAAATAAAAGTACAGAAAGCAAAATTTAGCAGAAAAAAAAATTCTCAAACTGTCTAACCACAAATAAGTAATACAATGATGTAATAATATACAGGAGAAAGTAATTAGACATGGACTCCATTATTTGAAATATCAAATATCTGTCAGTTCTTTCAACCTGGCAATAACTGTAAAGATCCTGGGAGTGATTTCCACATCTACATGCTAAAGGAATTGTAGAGAAAATTTACACATGTGTTTCATGATGTGACTGTGAGCTATTGTACATAATTAGTAAGTACACTTTAGACCAGTGCTGTCCAATAGAAATTTCTGTGATGGTGGAGATGTTTTGTATCTGTGCTGCCCAATAAGGTATCCTCTAGCCCACTTGGCTACTGAGCACTTGAAATACGACTAGTGTGACTAAGAAACTAAATTTTAAGTTTACTTAATTTTAATTGAATAGCCACATGTGCCCAGTGTCTACCAGACTGGACGGTGTAGCTTTAGAGCAAGTAGCCTGTATCTGTAACTGTGCTGTGCCAGTTCCAGTTTGAGGAAGAAAAAGAGCCTTTATCCCCGTAACTGCCACCAAAATGGCAGTCAAGCTCCCAGATTCAGGAGACACAATATGCTACCCTTGCCAGAAGTTTGCTACTGTAATAGGAGGATGGGCCTGGCGGTTAGGAGACCTAAACATACACTTCCTTCATACTGAGTCTCAATTTGTAGAATATAGGGTTGAATAAGATAATGTCCAACCTTCCTAATTATCACCACAGTTCCTTTAACAATCATTGCTTTTTGTTTCCCCACATTCCTGACACTAGCAAGATGACCCCTTTGACCCCTATTTTTTGGACCCTAGGCTGACTATATTTGGAAAATGGCCACTTCTCAGAATGGAGAACAGAAAGAAAGTCAATCGTTTGCCTTAGCATGTCAGAGACTTCCTCATTTTAAGAATATCATATAGTTTCTATAATTTCTCCCGAGCTTTGCCCTAGTTTCCATGGACCAAGAAGCTCCTAACTGAATGGTCTCCTGAAGCATAGTGCTCTTCTGATTCTGGGCAGCCTGTCCTCAGCAAAGGTGCAACCTGATGTTCACATCTACCCTAACGACAGCCAGCCATTGCTTACCCAATCACACTTTCTCCATCTGCCCTGGTCTCCAGCAACCACCCACACAGCCTCAGTCTGCTGTTACCCAACACGGTGCGGAGATGTGAACCCTGTTTGTAGTGAGGCTGTAAGAGCAGAGGATATGCAGTCAAAAGAGCAGAATTTAGGTTGATGGACTATATCACACAATGGAAAGGATAGTGTCCAGAGCTAGAGAGATATCCCTGAATTTCAATCTCATTCCAATAACTGTCTAACCATGAACTATTTATCTTTCTAATCTATCTCCAACTGTAAAGTGAAAATAGTAATTCTCTCTAGATTATACCACTAAAAAAAAAAAAGATACGTCTAATACAGGGGCTAAAGATGCTATATAAAATAAATTTGAAGCAGAAGAGACCAGAGACAGGGAAATGAATTAACAAACAGAACAGTAGCAACAAAGCAGAGCTAAGGTGATGCAGACCTAAAGAAAGGTAGCAGCCATAGTAAGAACAAGGTCAGAAGGAAGTAAAGGCTCTTAGTGATAGATGAGATAACAGGAGATAAAGGAGAGGAAGAAATTAAAGATAACTTCAAGGTAACTGGATGAAGTTAAAGTTAACATAGATAAAAATCAGGAAACCAGTATTGAAGGGTAGGTTAAAAAGAGAAAAGAAGATAACTTTAAGTTAAACTTACAGGATTTTAGATTTTAAATGCAATCAGTCTTAAATATATCTATATCTATTTCAAGAACCTCAAGCAAAGGATCACTAAGTAATGTGTATAAATCTCAAAGCACTTTAGTGGCACAATCAAGGCTAAGGCTTAGATATCTTTATTCCCATATTAAACAACTGGTCTCTTTTGTTTGATCTGAGATGAAAATGTAAGACATTCAAATAAATATTTTTAAGGGCACTTTGTTACAGGAAAAGGTTGGAAATGCAGTTTTAGGAAACAGTAGTGCACAAAAACAGTTGAAACTATTAGAATGGATGAGCTCACAGAATTATGAAGTAGAGAGAGAAAGAAGGAAAGGGCAGTCAGCACTTAAACATGCTAAGAAGATGTCAGATTCAGAGCATCCAGGATTTTAGTCCCACCGGCCCCCTGTCTCACCTGTAAGAATAATGATAATGATGGTGATGATAATATTGACACTAAACTGCTTTCAAGATTGTCTTTCATCAGACTTCCCTACATGATGTAATTCTTATAACAACCTGTGAACAGACAGTATTATTATGCCAGATTTTCAGATAAAGAATTTAAAGGCACACAGAAAGGTCTGGCCAAGGTCACAAGTAAGTGAATAGTCAGGACTTAAACCTAGGAAATTAAGTTCCAAAGAAACAGAGCTGTAATTTTTGTCTCAACTGAGGCACTTCTGAGAGTTAAAGAATAGCAGGGGAAAACTGGATATGTGCAGGGCAAACTAGGTTATACAGCCCTCTGACTCTTAACCGCTAAGCAATCTGCCTCGAACGTCCTACAACCATAAATATTAGTTCTAATTCTTCATTATTTGCCTGCATTCAATCCACTGAGATTTCTTCTACTGTGTATCCTTTCTCCCACCTTCAATTTCTTCCTTTGTACTGACTTCTTTAACTGCAAAGTTTTCCCAGTGTCCAAAATCTTCCCTGGAATTCTCCCTCACATCCTTGGATTCTTCTATTCCCAAACAAGTATATTTCACTTCAAATATTTATTTCTGTGTATTCTCATGTCTACCTCCACTGCCTTGTCCTTTGTTCCGGTCCAATTCTCATTTTCCTATTTTTGTGCCATGGCCCCTTCTCCCTCCATCCTCATCCTCCCTAGACTTCCATTCATGCTACCTACCATCAGTTACCTTTACAAAAATCAAAGATCTGATTCTCTGATTAAGATTAGGGAATTAATAAAGGGGGTCCAAAGGTACAAATTGTCAGTTATAAAATAAATAAGTCATGGGGATGTAATGTACATCATGGTGACTATAACTAATAACACCATGTTGCATATTTGAAAGTTGCGAAGAGAGTAAATCTTAAAAGTTCTCATTACAAGGAAAAAAAATCTGTAACTGTGTGGTGATGGATGTTGACGAGATTTCTTGTGGTGATCATTTTGCAATATATGTAAATATTGAATCATTATGTTGTACACCTGAAACTAGTATAATGTTTTATGTCAATTATATTTAAAAAAAAAAGGACAAAAAAAAAGAATTAAATTACAGATAACTTCCCACTGGTTTCAGAAAAATATTTACAGCTTTCCAGGCCCATCTCCCACTCTCTTCTCAGGCTCCAGACATTCATCATCCATAAGGTCAGAAACTCTCCCCTATAATCTCGGCAGGCCCAGTGGGTAGAACAGCATTCAGTACGCCACATTGTGCTGTACGCCAGAAACTGACACAACATTGTAAGCTGACTATACTTCAATAAAAAAAAAGAGAGCAAGAGAGAGAGACTGTTAAATCAACACAAAGGCTTCCTATTTTGTAATTCTCTTCATCCAGCACTAAGAATAGCATGCTAGGCAAAGAATAGGTTAGTAAACACTTCCCACATTTACTGTTCTACTTTATGGACATGACACAGGTAAGAAAAAAACTGAACAATCTCTTAAATAGGTGGCAATATGATGATATTTGTCATCCCAACACTAGGAAATACAACTTATATTTCATTTTTGAAGCCATACATACATCTTGTGACCTAAAAGATAACTAAGCTTTTTTACTGGTAAAATCTATGGAGTCACATGCAAACCAAGTTATGGGCACAAAAACCTCACAATGTTCTAGAAGGTGGTCCTGCCTTGCAGGGTTAAGCAATGAATGGTAATGACTTAGTTGGGGATATTCTACATTTGTTTACTCTATTAACAGGGTTCCCTTTTGGTCAACAGTGATCACATTGTTGTGTAAACAAATGGATCTGGAGGTTTTGACTAAAGAAATGTTTTAAAGGTGTTTTCCCCTTTTGTTTATGTTGTCACTGTTTGAATGATACCAAGAGACAGAGAGATAGCCCCTAAGAAATCTCTACCCAGGCCTCCTCCACTAAAACCCAATATTTATCGTGGGAATGAGAAACGCTGTGGGCCTGCTTCAATCACAGTGTTATGTTACTCTACCATGTGGTGAAATAAAGTCCTGTTAATTAGAAAACTTTAGAAAATCATGGTAAAACCTGACCTGTTGTAAAGCAGTGGGGGAACAGAAAGAAAGAAAGAAAGAAAGAAAGAAAAAAAGCCTTCCATTATTCCTTGAATGAAATCAATTCATTTAGGAGGTCTTTTTTACTGTTGTTGAAAACCTGAATACTGCATGACCCCTAAACACAAAAGTTATCAGACAAACTGATATCAATATCAATATGCTTAAAATGTTGGAGGGACATGTTTTAACCCAAACATCAATTATTTTTAAACCAAAGAAGCGAACATTACAATCTAACCCCTTTCTATATGCTCACAGGCAGTACTTGGCTTAGTCATTAAAACACAGACTGCAGGACAAAGACTGCCAGCTTGAACCCCAGCTCTGCTCCGACCACTTGTTAGGCCTTGACCAAAGGACTCCACTTCTCTCAACGTCAGCTTATTCACCTTTAAAAAGCACAACATAATAATACCTCCCTCGTATTATGTCATTGTGAATATTTTAGAAAGTCAATTAGAGCACAGAACAGTGTCAAGGTCAAAGCACGTGTTCAGTAACTGTCAGCTACTACGATTACATACGCAACAGGTTTTGGAGACCTTGTCTAACATAGTGAGGAATTATTTCAAATGTATTTTATACATTGAGCGAAATCACTTATCCCCAAACACATCTGAATGAACGATGATGAGTTTCTTAACCGCCCAAAAGCAACGGCAAAACGATCCAAAGTGTGAAAGCCACTAACCATTGAGCCAGTGGTGCTCGGAGATGTCCGTTCTGATGTAATGGTGGTCGTGAGTAGGCCCAAGGGACCGTGTGAACGCAGTATCCTTGCCAAGGAAATCAGAAGCTGTTCCAGAGTACAGGTACTCATCTGCCAGGAAGAAGAGAGTGCACAGGGCTTCTAAGAGTTTACCAGCAGACACGATTTACAATATACTCATTTCACAGCCTGAAACCAGAGATGTTTATTGCTTAAGATCAGAATATATCATTGCATAAATTTCCCTTTCAGGTTTTGAAAAATTTACTGAGTTAAGAAAAGATAATTCAGTGAACTCTGGGAAGCTGATGCCAGAAACATGAACCTAAAAAAAGGCCACACAGTCTTCTGACTTAATAGCTGCACATGCATTTAGCTTCCATTATGAAACCGCTCTTCTTCTTACCCTTCTCTCTACAAATAATTCAAGGATATATTGTAATTAGGACTTCCTCTCTGTAGTAACACAAAAACATATTAAAAAAGCAAACGCCATCATGAGGAATGAATTGTGTAATTAGTATTTACTTAACCGCCACAACCTCAGTGACCACAACTTTTCTCTGCCTAACCTCTGCTGAAAGGGAGCTTTCAGCACTGAAGTCATGCTTTGTAATTAGAACATGGTGCATTCCTTGTAGCTAATCATGTCTCTAATAGTTCTGATAAACAGGAATTTCTGAAAAGGGGAGGATGTTGCCATTCCTGCATACCAAACTAGTTTGTTCTGTTATTTATGTAAAGTGAATATCCATGTTTTACCAGAGACAAAAAGGGGAGGAGAGGAGAGGGGAAAGGGGGTGAGAGAGGCAGAAAGAGGCAGAGAAGGGGAAGGAGGGTGAGAAGACTGAGGAGGAAGCGAAGGAGCAGGAAAAGGGGAAGGAGTGGAAGATAAAAAGGAAGAGAGGAAGAAAAGACAGAGGGAGAGAGCGGGGAGGGAAAGGATGGAGGGAGGAAAAGGGGGGCGCGGTGGTCCGTGTTCCCTGATGCTGGTTAGCACACTGCTGTGGGGGGTGGTGTGTGGCAGGAGAACGTATTACCCCTTTGAGAGCAAAGCCTCTATTTCAGGAAATCTTTATAGCCAACTACTTTGGGCTACACATAATAGACTAAAATAAAAAATAGCTAATCTCTACAGAGTATTTAGATCTTTCTAAATGCCTAAATGTAAAAACAACTACAGACAGTGTTTTATCACTAAAATTCGATTTTTCTCAGAAACTTATCTTTAAAATGCTGCCTTTGTATAAGTGATGCAGATACTTTAAAAATCCTCTGATTATATCCATCTTAATAAGGCTTTTATCGAACTATTTGAGACCACCAACTTCAATACTAATGACAATAGTCAACTTCCAAAGAGGGGAAAAACACACACACAGACACATAAAAGAGAGAAATCCAGTTATGTAAAGTAAATGTAGATATGGTACTGATTCTATCTCTTAAATATATCTAGTGGAAAGTAAGATTTCATTGTGGGGCACATTTTTAAAAACAGAACCACAAAAATAACAACATCAATAAAGACATTATGAAGAAAGTTCAGTAAGAGTAAAGGAAACAATATTTTACAGTTTTCAGAGTATAGGTAATCTCGTTGGTTAATCTTATTTCTAGGTATTTTGTTGTTTTTGATGTGATGGAAATGTTTATGCCAGTTATAAAATTCTGGTTTTTGAAGTGAAAAAAAATTGAACGAAGAGCCACAAGTGGCAAAATATTCTTCTTTTTTATGGGTGAGTTGTATTCCATTACATATATACGCTACATCTTCTTTATCCATTCATCTATTGATGTGCACTTAGGATGCATCCATATCTTGGCTATTATAAATAATGTTGCTGTTAATAGCAGGGGGTAAGTATCTTTCTGAATTAATGTTTTTGTTTTTCTCGGATATGTGCTCAGGAGTACAACTGCTGGCCATATGGTGGCTCTATTTTTAGGTTTCTGAGAAACCTCCATACTGTTTTCCATAGTGGCTGCACCAATTTACGTTCAACAACAGTGCACAGGGGTTACATTTTCTCTATATCCTTGCCAACATTGGTTATTTGTGTCCTTTTTGATGATGGCCATTCTGACAGGTGTGAGATGATATCTCATTGTAGCTTTGATTTGTATTCCCCTGATATAACTGATGTTGAGCCACTTTTCATGTTCCTGTTGGCCAGCTGCATTTCCTCTTTTGGAAAAATGTCTGTTCAGTTCTTCTGCCCATATTTTAAATGGAGTGTTTGCTTGCTTTTTAATTGAAGTACAGTTGATTTAAAATTGGTTTCTGGTGTACAGCATGGATGGACTTGGAGGGCATTATGCTAAGTGAAGTAAGTCAGACAGAGGAAGAAAAATACTGTAAGATACCACTTACATGTGGAATACTAAAAAAAATACAAACAAACTAGTGAATATAACAGAAAAGACACAGACTCACAGATGTGGAGAAGGAACCAGTGGTTACCAGTGGGGAAAGGGGAGGAGGAAGGGCAAGATGGAGGTGGAGGATTAAGAGGTACAAACTATCAGGTATAAAATAAACTACAAGGATGTATTGTACAACATGGGGACTAGAGCCAATATTTTATAATAACTATAAATGGAATATAACCTTTAAAAATTTGTGAATCACTATATTGCATACCTGTAACATATAATATTGTACATCAACTATACTTCAATTTAAAAAATATGATATTGTAAAATAAATACATAAATAAATAATGGTTTAAAAAGAGACTAAAGGAAACACACCATTAATTTGAAACACAGAATTGCAAATATTTAAGTATTTTGTCAGAAAAAAATGGTGTATTTCAACATAAAAATTGGTTCTGTATAGCCAGGCTTTAAAACTGTCTTCTTTGTATTTCAATTACTTAAGGACTCCTAAGAGGGGTCACCAATACCTACAATCTGTTGTTTTTTATTAAGGGTGTGTCAACTCCACTTGACAGATCAGAACCAGAAATCATCAGTCTCATTTTCTGCAGATAATCACTGAACATGGGTCATATATTTTTCAAAACACACAAACACACACACACTCACTTCAAAGGAAGATCACTAGTTCTCACTAAACGAAAATCAAAATGTCATGGTGCTTCACTCTTATCATCTATTCAAACATTTGATGGACAAGTTAAAAAAAAAAAAAAGACTGAAGTCATGAACCAAACCAAGACAAAAGGAGTCCTTATAATGGGTGAAATTCAAAGGTCATGCTGACATTCCTCAGAAAAGACTTCAGACCAGACAGTACTGCCTTCTTTAAACAGGATAGTCCTCCCATCAGAGAACTGAAGATGTACACAAAGCGAGAGGAGACTGAATGTGCTAGCAAAAATTTCCCATTTCCATTAATATAATAAGGTTAGGGTGAACTTGGGGGGAAAGGTGTTATAACATTCTATGATCTGTATTCTACAATTCTAATACTTCTCCTATGAATTTATCTACTTATGTCTTCTTATTAATCCTCCCAGTCAAATCTTCAACATATTTTATAACATATTATGTTTAAGGAATTGCCAAACTTAACTTCTACAGTGAACCAAACAGGGTCATAGTGAAACGTAAGAAAATTGGAGACACCTAAATGTAAAATTATAGATCGAACGAGTGTGTGTGGTTTGCACTAAAAACAATGCAATCAGAAGTGCATTTAAAGGGTAACTGTGCAGACGTTCAGGATTCCTGGAGCCTCAGTTTATGGATAAGGATGCTAAGAGTAGAGAGACTTGACACTAAAAGACTACAAACAAACAGCCAGTGGAAGATTAATCTAAAACAACCTTTAACACATTCAGAAAATGTGGTTTCATCTACACGTTCCTTAAACACCTCGAAGCAAGAACTGTCGGTAGCTGACCTTACCTGTCATTACGGAAGCGAAAGGTTGTTGAGGATCAAAAGGACATTTCAGACGGCCAGACTCCAGATTATGTGTGTCCAGTTTGAAAATAACTTCCTGTTAGGAGAAATATTAACGTCAGTGAGATTTTTTTAAAAATACAAGAATCAGCAAGAACATAGGAGATAAAAACTAAACTCTAACTCATTGATTCAAGAAAAACTGAGCATATAGCATGTGCATCGTGCTGTGCTCCTTAACTCTTCCACAAATATTATTTCTGGCAAGACTCCCATGTTTTGGTCTCTGTTAGCCCAAGGTAGTCATGATAATCATGAATGAATTTTTCAGTCAGAAGTAGTCATATACTCATCAATTCCTTCAGCCTGGCCCACTATCATAATCCAAAGTCACCATCAAGCACTCATATTTCTTAAGCCTAACAACTCATTTACTGAGCCTAATAAGCCAATTTCCCCACTGAAGAAATAAATTTACCATAACACTTATATTTTCACAACTACGATGGTCTAGCTACCTAAGCATCTGCAACGATACCAAATTACGTAAGGCAGGAGGGCGGTTCATTTTCAGAGCTGTTGATACACGTGGGCAAAAAAAAAAAATCCTGTTGTAGTATTTTCACTATTATGAAAACACTGCGTACATTAAAGCCACATAGTTATTTTGGCTGAAACATCTATTTTTATAATAGTGGCCACAGACAGAATGGCATTGGCAGACTTTTAATATTCAGGAAAAATAAACAGCTTAAGTTGAACTTTCCAAGAAAAATATGAATGTATAATTAATATGGCCCTATGAGCTTGAGTGTTTCATAACAAGGACAACACTACTATCCAGCAAAAAGACAGATGACTCACCCCTCACATGCACTAGTTAGAGAAATTCAGCATTTCAGACATTCTCTCTAGAGAGCAAATCTACACTTGTATCAGAGCACACATGTAATTATAAGGGACCATTCAGTGCCACTTCCCTAGAAATCAAGCAGTGAAGCAAAAGGGATAGAGGAAATTGGATCATTTGGACTATTATTATTGTATTATGTGTCATTTCAGATCTTTTCCTTTTTAACAGGACCAATAGGAACTACTGCCTTATTAAAAAGTAGCACAATTAACAATTATTATTTCATGGTTTTCAATAAATGCACTTTATTTTTTTTAAACAACTTTAGTGTGGTATAATTTCTGTGCAGAAAACTACACCTGTTTCAGATGTACAACCTGATGAATTTTGACAGAAGGATACACTGATGAAACCACCATAAATGCACTTTCATAGTAAGAGAAATGGTACTTAACAGTTAATGCCAACTAAGCATGGGCCAGGGACTTCATGTCCATTGTCTCACTGAAGCTTCACCATAAACCTAAAGGTGTAGCTACTTTAAGAATTTCAGCTTTACAAGAGCAATACTGAGAATACAAGGGGTTATCTTGTTCACCATCACTTAGCTAGAAAGAGGCAAAGCAGTAGCTTGAACTGAGGGCTGTTGAAGTTCATGCTTTTAACTAATCTAGTCTCAGGATTTCAAACTCATGGATTTAAAAATGTGTTGAAATTAATTTAGAGGCTCACCATGACCATGCAACATGATCAAGCTCAAGTATGTTTAGTCAGAACAGGTCAACTAA